GGCCACCTAGCTACCGGCATTTTTCCGAACCTCCTCTCTCCCTCCCCCCCTCCTCTCCCTAGTTACCGCTTCATTAATATTTGTTTCTTGTTGGTATGCGACCCCAACTGCGTGTGCTGTGGGGTTCTTCACTTACAGTATCGCTCGCCAAAATGTTGGCCTGCTTTGTTTCAGTTTCTCGTGGGGGTTGCGCATACAACTTTCGTCGAAGTTGTGCGGTCCTTCTGGTGCTTCCCTACAGTGGATTGTTATCCGTCGATAACACTTCCGTACGCAACTGCTTTTGGGATTGGTTGGTTGAAGCTTTCCTGAATACCTTATTTCAACTGCCATTGTCTGTTGTGCGCTCCGCAGCGGTCGGATGTATGACAGTTCGACACCCTTGTCTTCTGATGATTCCCTGCAGTGGATCGTAACCCGTCGATATCACTTTCGTACGCAACTGCTTTTGTGACTGATTTGGTGATTGCTGGGTACTTGCGTCTTATCTCTTGCTTCCCTAAATACCTTGTTTCAACGGTCATTCTCTGTTGTGCGCTCCGCACTGATGTGCTGTCTGTTTGCATTCCTCATGCAGGTACTTCATCTTCACCTCCTTCTGGGCCTACAAAATCTACTTTGTGTTCGGGTTCACCCTCCTGGTCATCCTCATCCTGATTGCAGTGACCAGCTGCGTCAGCATTGTCTGCTCCTACTTCCTTCTGAACGGCGAAGACTATCGGTGGTAAGCTAATCTTTGCCTTCTCTCTTATTGGCGCCTGCCTGTGTGTTTGTGTGCTGACGCCATCGGAGTTTGGGTGCGTGTGGTGTGATCGATTGACCGAGAGTCAGGTCGCAATGTGACACTCACGCAGTCGCCCTTACAGTGGCACGTAACAGCCCATGCCGCCTCTCACACGCCCTCAAACGAACGTTTTTTTTGACACAACAGCTAACTCACGCCAACCTGCCCTGTGTATGCAATAATTCGGTTCTCACAACTCATTAATTTCCCCCACCCATGCAAGCACCCAAGACGTCAAGTTTGGCGGGCGTATGTTTTCGATTATTCATCATTAGGCAATTACAATCATATAAGCGAAGGTAAAGTGATGAAAGTTTGAGCATCCAATCAAAAGTGAGTAAGGGGTGGGAGAAGGTGTTAAGAGATCAAGAGGGAGGGGGAAGGACTCCGACAGGTAGTTCATGTTACCGCCTTGTCGCTGTCTCGCGGCGTGTAAGGACGCATGCTGAGTGGGAATCTTAGTGTCTGTGCAAACGCCTTCCGTGCGCATAAAATGGAGGTTAATTAGCCGTATGGCGACTGCCTCTGTCGTCACAAGTATCCGCTGACGCAGGAACTTGAGGTGCTTCGTCGATGCTTAATACTTGACTAGAAACGCTTGGTTGATGCCTACCCGGTGGCCGCTGTCTACCAAGTGGGCCAAACTCGCGCTAGATATGGACTTTGCCACACCATACAGAATGGTGTTTTCACATCCGCCTAGATAGATGCCAATTTAACTTGCCCCACAGGCGCAAGTAAAGGCGTAGATACGCACTGAAGAGGTTTGAAACGGGAAGAAACTTTCTGTTGATTTGACAACTTTAGCCGTCACACCCCTGCCGACATATCCTCACCTTTGTCTAACAACTTGTCTCAATCGCATCCTCAAATCAGAATTCAATATCAGGTGTGGAAGAATAGTATATTGACGTATTCCGACAGCCTATTTAAGGCATTATGGAACATACGGAATGTCCAAGGTCGGGCTGAACTCGGACCAATCACACAATGTCCTTGGACGGCTAGCATGTCGGCTGGACTCGTCTGTTTGGTTGGGTAGAGCTCCAATCATATCGGGTGCTGTTGCGACGCCAGCACGCGCATGACACTTGAACGGGTCAGTAGATTGGTGTGCAAGTGAGTCGGCCAGATCGTCTCCTCTTCCTAACACGCCTTCGTTGATTCACTGCCCGCCCACTCCTTTACGTCCCTGTACAAAGAAGCTCGTTTGCGTCAATCCCGATTTCGTTTGTTGCACGGTGGACAACGGAAGTAATGTTTGCCTGGTGCTGTCTAACAGTTCTTCCATTTCAAGGGTAGAAGATGTGATCGCTGGAACAAGAAATTGGTTTGCCTGACGTTTCGGCTTCTAATTTGAAATCATCATCAGAGGCAACCCTCACTGTTGCTGTCATCCACGATGTTCTCCTGCCTGTGGACCGCGAGCCAAATAGGACTGAGTAAACAATTGGTTAAGAGAGTGAAGTTGTCCGCATCTAGGTATTTTTCCTTCACCTCTCTGCGCTCCACCAGAGTTTCAGTGTATTCAGCTTGCAGAAATTGACTATTTTAAACATAAATGGACTTTTCTTGCTTTGGACGACATCCTCACTTCAGTCAATGTTGTCTGTGGGAGGGGGGGGGTTGAAGCTGCCTACAGACCTGTCGTCGTACGCAACTTGCATGCACCATGTTTCCTCGGAAAGTGGTTGTGTTCCCGCCTCTGAATTCGCCAGAAACTAAAACATTCGAACGTACCGGTAGGCTATGGTCAAGGGCCTGTAAATGCCAAACGTGGTGGCCTCTGTGCACTGCATTGATTTTCGGGAATGTCTGAAAATGTCTGAAATGTCCGGCGAATAATGTCCCCAACTGTGACCACAGTGATGAGTCACCAACTCATGTGCGTGTTTATCGTGAACTTGGCTGCAACTAAACGTTGCCACTACTGCAGCCGTGGAGAGACTAATTAAAGAAGTGTAGAAGCTAGATGATGTCTACTTCAGGGGAGGGATTCTGGGTAACAGGAGATGACATTTCGTCAATTTCGACCTGGAAAGGTTATTATTTTTTCGATCTCAGGCAATACTTCATGCCAATTATGTTTTGGGGGCAAAGACTGCTTCACTTTATTTTGTTGTAAAGAGGTGTATGGAATAAGCCAACTTGGGCCTTCGTGCCATGCCTGTCAGTATGACAACGGCAGTTACCAACTTCCTTCTTTATTTTAAAGTTAAATATTGTACCGTTTTTTTATTGGATTTTCAAAGGCAATGTCTATTGCCCTTAAATATAATGTTTACTGACCTCTCCTTTCGCCCTCTTCCCCTCTCTTAGGCAATGGGTCAGTTTCTGCTCGGGCGCCTCCACCGCCATCTACATCTACCTCTATTCAATCTACTACTTCATCTTCAAGACCAGGTAAGCCATCCTTTTGCAGGAAACCTTTTATTTTTGCTCCTGCTTTTACTCTGGTACCATCACGTTGACACTCACCCCGCGTATACGCACACGTGGGAAGGCCCTCTGCTTGTCATCATACGACCTTGCAAATTCTTGGCTAGCCAATGGTATTGTTCCGCGGGTAATTTCTCCCTCCACTGGCTCTCAGCAGGTCCTACCCGAATCGTGTGCCTACTATTGAAGCTAGGCTTCTCCAGCACGCTTGCTCAAACTGCCAACAGCGGCGACTGTCGAAACCTTGTTTAATAAGGAGGACTTTTTGCCATGCTGCAATATGCGGCCTATGACCTGTGGCCTTGTTGTAGGTAGCCTGTTCGCATGATTGGTGTTTAACCACGCCTACCCGGATACTACTACTACTACTACTACAGGGTTATGGGTTTTTATTCGCAAATTGAGGCAGATGTTAGCATTTAAGGTGTGTGCGTAGGAAAAGAAGAAGGCACGTCGATCACCAGAATTATGGTTTTATTCATCTGAGCTTTTGAACTCTTACTGAAGTCAATCATCAGCGGTGAAAGCGTCAATGAAAAAAACAAGCAACAGTTATAGGGGTCAGTGACCCTACCGGTGACGTCAGTCCGGCGCCAGCCCCATTAATCGATTGATTGAGTTCTCATCCGGGCCCAGGCTTCAATCAATTCTCCGCCCGTCTTGCTACTCGCATGGGTGATTATCTTCACGAATGAAAGAGAATGTTCGCATTCCAGGTATTTCTATTTGTAAAGAAGATACTCGATCGTTATTTTGTTCCGAGCTTTCGGGCTCCTGTAGGAGTCTACGATTAATCAGTCACCGTTGCTTTTGAAAATATCTCCGAACTTCTTCTGTGCATCGGTTTTTAGGTGTTCCATTCGCGTCACAC